GTTTCTGAGAAGTGGCTGTTGAGTTTGAACCACCGACCTTGGGGTTCAAACTGACCTTATGGTCCTGTGCTTATCCTACAGTGTCATATATATTGAGGACTCAATATAGTAGCTAGTGAGGGATTTTGTCATTGAGGTAAAATTTGTGCACCAGATACACACATTTTAAGTATTGTTGTTTTTTTTTTAAGTACCATAGAGTTGTGTTTGACTCAGCGACCATTTGCACAACAGAATGAAACACTGCTTAGTCTTCCTCCTTCCTTACAACTGTTGTCATGTTTGAACCTATTGTTGCTGACTCTGTGTCCATCTCATTGGGGATCTTCCTCTTTTACACTGACTTTCTATTTTGCCGAGCATGCTATCCTTTTATAGTGTCTGATCCCTCCTGATAACATGTTCAGAGTATGTGAGAAGAAGTCATACCATCCTAATTCCAACGAGCATTCTGGTTGTACTTCTTCAAGGAAAGATTTGCTTGTTCTTTTGGCAATCCAAGGTACTTTTAAGTATGTTGTTCTTGTTAAGTGTCATCCAGTGACCCTGTAGAGGGTTTTGAGGGAGCATGTGGTGGATTTAAACTGTCAACATTGTGGTTCACCGTCCAGTACTGATCCTACAGCACCACAGCAGGCATCCACTTTTAAGTACGTTGTTGTTAAGTGCTGTGGAGTCTTTTTTTACTTGTTGTTGTTGAGTGCCGTTGAGTTGATTCTGACCCATAGCGACCCTGTATAGGGTTTCCAAGGAGCAACTGGTGAGCTTGATCCACCGAACTTGCAATTCAAATGACTTTGCAGTCTGACGCATTAGCCCACAGCATCACATAGGGACCCTCTATCCGATTTCCAAGGAGTGCCTGGTGAATCTGAACAACCAACCTTGCAATTCAAACTGACCTTTCGGTCGAGCACTTATCCTACAGTGCCACATCAAAGAAGTCAGTACATTTTGATAATTACATGGTGCTATAGGAGTCCTGGTGTGGCGCTGTGGGCTAATGCATCAGACTGCAAAGTCATTTGAACTGTGAGGTCAGTGATTCAAGCTCACCAGCTGCTCCTTGGAAACCCTATACAGGGTTGCAATGGGTTGGAATTGACTTAACGGCACTTAACAATAACATAGGATAAGTGCTGGGCTGTTAATCACAAGGTTGGCAGTTCAAACCCCCATTCACTCCTTGAAAACCCTATAGAGGGTTGCTCGCTATGAATCTGGACCAACTCTATGGCACTGAACAACAACCACCACCAATGAATGCTCCAATATAGGAAGAATGTTTCTGTCACCCACCCCCCAAAAAATTCCTAATGTTTCTTTCTAATAATATCTCTCTATAGGCAATTTTTGTTCTGATTTTATTATTATAAATTACTTTTGCCTTTTATATGATTTCATGTAAATCTTTATAGCCAGAATTTTAAATCAGATACTTATTAGTTATGTCAATAATTTGTTATTTGTGGTAATGTACCTGCTTAGTTTGAGAGTATGTTGTTGTTGTTAAGTGCCGTCGAGTTGGTTCTGACCCATAGCAACCCTGTACAGGGTTTCCGAGCCTGTAAATCTTTACAGGAGCAGAAAGCCTCATCTTTCTCCCACGGAGCAGCTGGGAGTTTTGAACTAATGACCTTGTGGTTCACAGCCTGATTCGTAACCACTACGCTACCAGAGCTCCTTAGTTTAAGAGTATAGTGTACCAAAAATATAGTAATCAAATTGTGTTAACTCAGAATTTGTACTGAATTGTATTTGGGAATGCCCCTTTCTCAGATGACATGGTGAGACTCAAGAGAAAACTTACAGCTTGACATTTATGACCATCTGTTACCCAGTGTAATCCTGAATCTGTTTGAATCTAGCCCATAATTATTCAGTAATATGATCTCCAGCATAGTTGCTGAATTGTGATATGGTGGAATGTAAGATTTGATCATAAATTTTTCACTGTCTCTGTATTGATAAAATGATTATAATAAAGAGTAAGAAACAATAACATAGGATGACAACTCAAAAAGATTCTGAGTACCGGTAACCTAAGATAGTTATGTATGTGTCTAAAATATTTTGGGTATAACTTGAAACTGAGTAGAGATCAAGTCACAAGAAAGTAGATCTTTATAAATTAATGGAAATAAAATGTAGTGAGCCATAAAAATATTAATAAAGATAAGCAAGTAATTGGAAAACAGAAACTATTGAGAAAAAAAATAAAAGAAATTTGAATATTAAATCCAGTGAAGGAAAAGTATCATAATGAGAAACTGCCTCCAATCATCTTCAAATAATTAAATTAGCAACAAGATTATTAATTTAATAAAAACTGTAATGGGAAAGACTTGAGGTAGCTAAAACAGAGAGCTTTGGTATAGAGTAGTAAATATCACAATGGAATATTCTTTTCAAGAGGTTTGTAATTTTAATATTTAAAGTATGACTGGAAAAGACTTGCGTTAGAGAGGATAAATTAGGTACTTCACAAGGCTGACTCTACTGATGCTACATCAAAGGAGAAAGTAAAGAAAATCTGAGATAGTATTGTCTAATGTTTTATTTATTTATCACTTCTAGATTCCAGCTATTGCTTAATATTTTTAAATACACACACACCAGTCCTGCCAAGGAAACAAAAGTGTGTGATCTGTCTTAAATCTGCTAGTCTAGGGAGGAGTTGCTATGACAACAGAGTGTAAGATATATTTTTTCTAATTCTAAAATGGCATCTCTGCTGTTGAGCACAAAGCAATCTGAAAGATAAGACAAAATACAATAAATAATGTAATTACTGGAAAAAAACTGTACACAAGAAGAAAATTTTACTTCAAACCTCTTTTTATTATATTTCATTATTGTTTTTCATCTTTTTTACTTGAAATAAATCATCTACAAACCATAATAAAATCTCAGCCAAATAAGCAATGTTTAATATTTAAACTAGAATAAGCATCTAAAAGCCAACCCTCAAAACCACTGTTGATGTTTTAAGGGGGATCATCGGGTGCTCCTTTAGTTCTCTGGATAGAGAACAGATACTAAAGTGGGTGTTACAGTTGCCTTTAATTCCTGTATTTCTCAGCTTTCACTACCTAACCACTCTCGATTAGGCAACAGAATCTGGTTGCTGATGTTGCTGTCCAGTCAGTTCCAACTCATAGCAAACTTGTATAGTGTTTCTGAGGAGTGGCTGGTGGGTTTGAGCTGCCAACCTTGTGGTTAGTATTACAGCGCCAACCCAGGACTCCAACAGGATCCTATTAATAAGTAAATCTATATGATAAGCACTGGACTTCGAACCACAAGGTCCATGGTTCTAGCCTAGCAGTCACTCCACAATACAAAGATGAGGCTCTGTTCCTGTGAAGATTTAAAGCCTCGGAAACAGTGTGAGTCAGAACCGACTTGAGGTACTTGGAAAAGCACCTGTAGAATCAGCACTGGACTGCAAACCACAAGATCGGCGGTTCAAACCCACCAGCTGCTCCTCAAAAACCCTATACAGTGTTGCTGTGAGTTGGAACCTACTCCACAGCACTTAACAACAATACTAAATAATTATTTATGCCAAATGAGAAGTTACCACTATTTTAATCTTTTTTCATTCTTCATTCATTTTTAAAAATCAGAATTACCTTCATGGAAGAAATTGCCCTGACAAATATGTGATACTGATCTTTAACCTTGAAATAAATAGTACCTGAGTATAAGAGTTCACTTCTGATATCAATAACAAAGCCAAATCAGGCTTTTGTTGTTGTTGTTGTTAAGTGCCATCATGTCGGTTCCGACCCATAGCAACACTGTATAGAGTTTCCGAGGAGCAGCTGATGAACTTGAACTGCCAACCTTGCAGTGCAAACAGCTTTGCAGTCTGGTGCATTAACCCACAGCGCCACGCCAGGTTGTTAGGTACTTTGAATCTCACAGCTTTTTGACTCAATACAACATCATGTGGCAGAGTCAGACCTTCTGCAGAGGGTTTTCCGGGCTGTAATTTTTACAGAAGCAGAATACTGGATCTTTCTTCTGTGGAACTGCTGAGTGGCTTCAAATCACCAACTTTTCAGTAGACAGATACTCTGTCATCAAGTCAATTTCAACCCTGCATAGGGTTTCCGGTAAATCTTTACAGGAGCAGAAAGCCTCATCTGTCTCCTGTGGAGCAGCTGGTGGGTTTGAACTGCTGAGTTTGAAGTTATCAGTTCAGTGTTTATCCTACAACACCCCAAAATCCAAACAGACTCGGTTGAAGAAAGGGAAAAGGAAAAAAAAAAAAAAAGATAAGGGCTGGAGTGTGAGTGAAAGGAAGAAATAATAAAGAGGAGAACAGGGTGGCACATGATAGGATATTAAAAAAAAAAAAAAAAAAAAACTGAATAATTTTTAAGTACAATCAGATAAACATTCACCCATTGTTTCTAAGAATTTGATTCCGAAGCATGGTCTCAACATTGCAAGGTTAAATGCTTACTCTAGATTTGTAAGAGTAGACAATACGCACTCTTAGTCTTGTAGCAATGAAATTCCATTAGTAGTGCTTAGGAACTCACTTTGTTAATAAAGCAATCCTGTCATTAAATCTTTGCTAACAGGGCTGTGGCCTGTTTGATAATTAGCTATTGTAATGTATTTTTCATGAAATTAGTCAGATCCTTGTCATGAGGAATCAACCTGTCTTCTGTAGGAAGGTGCACTCAGTGACCTGCCTCATTTTCCTGTGCCTCATATTTATGATTCATCCATCTGCATAATAATGAAGTTTACTTTACCAAGAGCATATATCCAAAAATCTATTCAAGGAATTTAAATGTAAGAAGTATGTGCTATTCTTTTCCAAAACAGGTAATGATGACCTGTTTGCTTTGTCATTTACCATTTTTATTAACGACATAGTCTCTTTTGCTCTTTTAAAGTTGTTGACATCACAGCTTACTTTGTTCAAAGAAAAGATTTATCATTTAAACAGCAAAATCATTATTTTGTTTATTTTTTTGAAGACCTAAATATGCATTGCTGGATGAATGTACCAGTGCTGTGAGCATTGATGTTGAAGGAAAGATATTTCAAGCTGCAAAAGGTGCTGGAATTTCCTTACTGTCTATAACACACAGGCCTTCTCTTTGGTAAGTATTTCCAACTCTATAACTAATTTGAACAAGGTACACAGAACAACTTGGCTAAACTTCCTACATCACTTGTACTACATGTACTTCTATCAAGTTGCATACTGTAGGCTACCTAGAAAAGCCAAAAATCATAATGTTAATGTATTATTTTAAAATTAACATTGTTGTAAGTGTTGTTGAGTTGGTTCCGACCCACAGCAACCCTGCATAGGGTTTCTGAGGTGCTGCTGATGAGCTTGAACCACTGACCTTGCGTTTCAAGCGACTTTGCAGTTCAGTACATTAGCCCACAGTGCCACATCAGGACTCTGAAAATTAACATTACTTTCTAGTAATTCTGAAAAGAAGTAGAAAAAATTCAGTGATTTTAACTGAATATATTCGTGAGAGAAATTCCATTACATCTACTAGGAAAGAATATATAATTGTTGTTGTTAAGTGCCATTGAGTTGGTTCAGACTCATATAGACCCTATATAGAGATTCTGAGGAGTCGTTGGTGAGTTTGAACCACTGACCTTTTCCAACCTGACCTTGCAGTTCAGTGCCACACCAAGACTCCAAATATAGTTGTTATTGTTGTTGTTAAGTTCTATCTAGTTGATTCTGACTCATAGCCACCCTGTAAAGTATTTCTGAGGAGCTGCTGGTGAATTTGAATCACTGACATTGTGGTTCAACCTGCAGTTCAAACCAATCTTTCAGTCTAGTGCATTATCCTGCAGTGCCACACCTGTACTCTACATATACATTATGAATAAATTATTGGATTCCTGGTGCGTTGCTGCTATAGGATCAGCATTGGACTGCTAACCGCAAGGTTGGCAGTTTAAAGCCACCATCTCCCCCTGGGAAACCCTATGCAGAGTTGCTATGAGTTGTAACAAAGTCGATGACTCTTAACAACAGCAACAACAACATCATTCTTTTAGTCCTTTTTTAAAATATTTATGGCTGGGGATGGAGTGGGGGATTCCACAATGCGTTATTCCCTCAAATGATTAAATTTTTTAAATCATGAGGATTTTTTTTTTAGGAAAAGAGGCCCAAAATATTTTATAAATAACCCATACGCCTAATGGCATTTCCCCTTGTAAATAAAATGATGATGATATTTTTACCATTTCCTGAATTTTTCTATTGATATCATGATTGTAATTGTTGATAATGTAGATTTAGTACCTATTCTGCTCCACGTTCATCTTTTTTAAGCCTCACAATAATTTTATGCAGTATAGGTAGTTTAGTTTTTACCATTTTAGAGTTTTAACTAGGAGGAATCTAAGAACTAGAAAATTTAGAAAAGTTAATTATTTTCCTGTGATTATATACCTTATACTCACAGCACATCACAACAACATATACCTCTGTTTCGTTATGCTATGCATGAGGCTGCTGTGAGTCAGTACCGACTCAATGTCACCTAAAAACAACAACAACAAAACAGTATACTATACTTATAATAAAGAATAGTAAATTGATCATGTATTTCATGAATGAACCCTAAAAAATACCTTTTCATTCACATTGCTTTCTACCTTTCTACTTTCACATTCTGTTTTGTCAACAATATCTAATTTTCTTTTGACATATTAGTAACTGTAGTTTCTTTGGCCTCATAATGCCCAAGGGGTCTGGCAAGACCCCTCTCTCTCTAGTTATAGTATTTTGTGTCAAGTGACTGTTCAGATTTCATACCAAAACTGTCATCATATACTTGACTCCAAAATCAGAATAAGCGCTATGCTTTATTTGGGTGATCTTCGAAGTCTTTCTAACTAATACCTTATAGACTAGCCAACAGCGCACCTGTCTTTTCCCTCTCTGCTGCTCTCATTTCCAGTCAGCACTCAGTTCACCTCTCTATCCTTTCCTCTGAAGCTCCGGGTTCCAATCACCATCTATACCTGTTTCGTTGTGTCTCCTGTGTCTTTGTAGCAGAGGGTCTGTTCATTGCATCTGTCTACTCCATCTTACCCCAAAAGTCCAAATTTAATTGTACCTATTTTTGTTATTCTTTTTTTTTTTTTTAATTGTGAATTGAGTGAAGGTTTACTGACAAGACCATCAGTTTTACATTCTATGAGTCATACACTTTATTTCTTCTCAGTGATTGCAATCCCCTCTACACAACAACAGTTAGCCTGCTTCTCTCTGCGGTCCCTATTTTCATTCTACCCACCTTCTCATCACATCTCAACTTCAACATTAGATAACTGTTGCACTTTTGATCTTGTATGATTGACCAATGGTGAACATACCTTACCTGTGTTCTTGTCACTCCTACATCTAACTGGAGCTCTGGTGTGGCACTATGGGCTATTGTGCTAGACTGCAAAGTCGGTTTGAACCACATGACTGGAGGTTCAAGCTCACCAGAAGCTTCTTGGAAAACCTGTACAGGGTTACTGTGGGTTGGAGCTGACTAAATGGCAATAACAAACAACAATGTATCTATCTATCTCTTGACTGAAAATTGGGTCATGAAGGTAAGTTCCATTCTAGCCCTGAAGGGTAGCCAAGAGTCATAGTGTTAGGTTCTTTCAGTCTCTTTCTGATAAGTAACTTGGTCTTTTTTTAATATAATTTTTGAGTTTAGTTCCACATTTTCTCCCACTCTATCAGGGACCTTCTAATGTAATCCTTTTGAGAATAGTTGGAAATGGTAACCAGATGCCATCTAGTTCTTCTGTTCTCAGAGTTGTGGTAATTGATGTTCACCTGCTCCATTGGTCAATTGCACTAGTTGATTCCAAACATCTTCAATTTTCAGTACTCTTCTTTCTTCCACAATGGAGAGAACAATAGTTGCACCTTAAATGACTACTCATAAGCTTTTAAGATCCAAGATGCTACTCATGAAAGTAGGATGTAGAATATATTGTCTTTGTAGAATGTTTTTCCAAATGACCATGATGTCTCCTGAGACTATGGTCTTGAGCCCCACAGCCCAGCAATGCAGTGCCTTAAGATGCTTGATAATATCTAAGAAGTTTTTATTATTTTGCCTGCTGTATGCTCCACAACATTTATAAGTATGTTTGCAGAAAAGGTAAATATCCATGTACAGATATCCTTTTCAAATCCTTCTATATTTGTCGGTGTACTCCCACTCTCTTTCCCATACCCATGCAGCCAGTGTTATCTGTTTGTATACCTACCCATAAAACACTGTTGTTCCAGGGTTCTAATTGCATATTTTAATTGCAGCTGCCCACAATACATCTCTCTATAAAAATAAAAATCATGTTATTTCTGCTTGTGAATTAGCTTGACCATTTTCAATGGTAGTAATCTGTTGTCTCTAATATATTTTCCCCCTAAATTAAATTCTTATTTTCTCTGAAAACAATTCAGATGTGGGAAGAGGTAAAACATTTGAAACTTATTCAATTATTTGATTTCAAGATAGAATTATAGCTTTATTATCACCACTTTCTTGTGCTCTATTCTGTTTGTGAAGGAAGCCTCAGTTAAAATAGCATTTTCCTTTACATTCCTCTGACTAAGATAAATCCTGTAATATTATTTTATCTCATAATATAGAACACACCTTTGAATCTCTGGGCATGAAACACCTACATAGTTTCTTCCTCCCATGTATAAATCAAATAATGTTGTAGGACCAGAGTGATGAGCCATATCTTCATTATACACTTGGAACTTGCCCAAGATATAAACTTCCATTATTTAAAAAAAATTGTTTCAGGAAAGAAAAAGAAAAGTTGAAGTAAAATGAAATGATATTTAAAAAAAACATTATTTCTCTTTCTTATCATATAGTCATCCTTCTCTTACTTAATTACTTTTTTTTTTTTTTTGCTCTCATAATTTCATAGTGTTTTTACATTTTTTCCTTGACATAGAAATGCTTTGTTTTCTATTTAGTGTTGGTAAGGTGCCACCTGTGCAGAGATCATTTTTTTTTAAAGCTCAAAACCTAAAATACAGTTAATATGCTGTTGCTGACTAAACTGCTAAAGAAGAGGGTGAGTAAACCTCACCTTTATCACTTACTCAATGGCAAGGATCACCATAAATTTTCTCATCTGGAAGTAACCGAGATTTCACCTCCTTACCTCTCCATTTATAGTCACTGACCACTTCTGTGGCATCTCCTGTCTCACCCTAACCACCTAGAATTAGGTCAAAATTCATCCCCAGCGACTCTGAGCCAAGAGTCTGCACTTCAAACTAGCCAGACCATCTCTATTCCTCTAGTTCTCTGGGACTGGGTCACAAGTGAGAAGCTATCCTTCATCAACTGCCCGTGCAGCCTTTCTCTGTCACCCAGCAAACCAGAGCTGGGTCTTCATGAACGTTAAGGCTCTATCATTATCTGTTAGCCACTCCAAACGAAGTCAAAGGAGTTCTGGTAGCATAGTGGTTACAAGTTGGGCTGCTAACCTCAGAACTATCTGTCAACTGTTCTATGGGAGAAAGATGAGGCTTTCTGCTCCTGTAAAGATTTATAGCCTAAGAAACCATATGAGTCAGGGTCACTATGAGTCAGAACCAACTCCATGGCACATAATCCAACAGCCAAAATAAGTCCAAGTGTCATTGACCTGTGGGTTCATATTCTCTAGAAGGCTATTGTTGTTAAATGCTATTGAGTCAATTCCGACCCATAGAGACCCTGTATAGGGTTTCCAATAAGTAACTGGTGAGCTGAACCACTCACCTTGAGATTCAAATGCCTTTGCAGTCCAGCGCATTAACCCAGAGCGCTTCCTCCAGGACTCCAAAAGGCTATTAGAGTTACATATTTATAATGTGATAGTCAGACTTTTGCTCTGCTAGAAATAAAAATGAAGCATTTTATTGAAGGAATAAAAACATTTCACAAAAAGGAGAGACCTGCCAGCTTCAGGTAAGATATAGCATTGTGCTCTGAAAAACAACAGTTTTTATCAGGTGGGCATGGAGAGGGGCAAGAAGCACAAAGCTTTATGCTAGGAGCTAATTTTCTACCACCATTACAGTCTTCCTTTTTCTTTACCTTAAGCTAACAAGGTTAGTTTTTACCTTAGTCAAAAATTTACAAGTATCAGCACAAATTAAGCAGAAAATCTCAGTGATTGAAAATAAAGTTTAATTTGGAGTCAAAAAATAAAAACTCAGACATAACTTATTAGACTGATAAAAGAGTTGTGGAGTAATTGCAGTCTTTATCTTAACATTTTTAGGTCCAATTCTATTTCTTAATCTCTAGGAGTGTGACATGCTTGTGAAAGGCTTTCTTTTGGACCAAGCTGAGTAAACATTCTAAATAGGCACTTTGAGCAGTTCCTCAGCTAAGCCAGAAATCCTGACTCTTGCCCTCTTTGGTTTACTAATAGTTAAACTTTGACAAAAAGACTGAATTGTCTTTTCAGTAAAATCAGAAGCTTCTAGGTCAGGCTGCAGTTTGATTCAAATGAAGTTTTAAATTTAGGTCTGGAACCAACTGATTTCAGTTATGCCAGAGCCTCCATTTAAAAATTTACATTGTTGTTGTTCAGTCTAGTCAGTTCAGACTCATAACAACCCTGTATAGGATTTCCAAAGTGTGGCTGGTGATTTGAACTGCCAACCTTGTGTCTACAAGCCCACTGTTTATTCAACCTACGCAATCAACCAGAAAAGACACAAAGAAACACATCAAGCAAAGTCTGGAAGAATCCTTAGCATAAGGCTTCCATTGTTTCCAGGGACATGCCATCTTCTCTCATTCCTGGATGTACTCATCACTCCAGGAAGTTCCAAAGGAGGAAGCTCTAAGGTCTAAGGTTCTATAGGTATTGGGGCTCAGTGCACACATATGAATCAATGAATATGCATGATTGACTGCATCATGCCCCACCTGTCTTCCTGAGGCCTGCTGCCAGGCCTGTGTAACCTCTACTCATTTACACATGGTGTGGCATTATGGTGTGGTACTGTAAGATCAGCATTGGACTGTAACCACACAATCAATGGTTTAAACTCACCAGCTGCTCCTCAGAAACCCTATACAAGGTTATTATGAGTTAGAACTGACTCAACAGCACTTAACAGCAACAGCATGGTCTGCTAACCACAAGATTAGTGGTTCAAACCCACCAGTCGCTCCCTAGAAATGTATACAGGGTCACCATAAGTTGGAATTGAGTCACTTCTTTTGAACCTGAACAACAGCAACACACAACAACAACAATAACAACAAATGCTGTTGTAATTGTTGTTAAGTACCATGGAATTGGTTCAGATTCATAGTGACCCTAGATGGGGCTTCCATGAGCAGCTGTGAGTTTGAACCACCGACCTTGTGGTTTAAACTGATCTTGTGGTCCAGTGCTTATCCACACTGGTCCTGGCTATTTTATAAAACAAAAGACAAGAAAACACCAATAAAAGGCCAAACCTAGTTATTTGTCCCACAGTTGACCCTCTTGATCTTTGACAGTATTTTCTCAACATATGAGAGAATTGGTTAGAATCAGGCTGCGAAGCTCAAGGTCAGCAGTTCGGAACTACCAGCTGTTTTGCAAGGGAAAGATGAGGCTTTCTGCTCCTTTAAAAATTTACAGCTTGGAAACCCTATAAAAGGTCACTATGAGTTGGAACCGACTCCACAGCACATAACCACCACTACCACCACCTCTTAGTAGCATCAATACTGTATTTAACAGTGCTAGGAGTCCTGGTGTAGGATGAGCACTGGAAAGCCTCTACAGGGTCACTATGAGTCAGAACTCATTCTTAGGCATTTAACAACAACAACTAACCACAAAGTTGTTGGTTCAAACTTACCAGACACACCTTGGAAAACCTGTACAGAGTCACTTATGAGTTGTAACCGACTTGACTGCACTTAACAACAACTGTTTTAATATGGGCCGTGGTGTGGCACTATAGGATAAGCACTGGATTGCTAACTAAAAGGTCAGCCTTCATACCCAAAAGTCACTCTTAAAAACCACATACAGGGTTGTGATTAGTCAGAACAGACTGGATGGCACACAACAACACAATAGTGTTATATCATAACCTGAAAAATAAGAATCAAAAGATATTTGTGGTTTTAAGAGCCTGGGGAAGAGTAGTGAGAAGTAACTTTTAATTGACATGTAGCTTCTTTTGAGAGTAAAGAAAATTCAGTGGTGATGGTCACACAGTTTTATGAATATTAAAAAACACACACTGAATTGCACACGTTAAAAAGAGAAATTTTATGATATATGAATTACATATCAGTTCTATAAAGGAGGTTGTTGTTGTTGTTGTTAAGTCCCATCAAGTTGGTACTGACTCATAGTGACCTAATGCATAGCAGAACAAAACACTGCCCGATCCTGGGCCAACCTCACTATCGTTGCCATGCTTGAGCCTATTGATGCTGCCATTTTGCCAATCCATCTCGCTGGGGGTCTTCCTCTTTTTCTCTGCCCCTCCACCCTACCAAACATGATATCCTTCTCCAGCAACTGGTCCTTTCTGACAATGTGCCCAAACTATGAGAGACGAAATTTGGTCATCCTGGCCTCCAAGGAGCACTCTGGCTGCACTTCTTCCAACACAGATCTGTTGGTTCTTTTGGCAGTCCATGGCACTTTTAGTATTCTCCTCCAACACCATAATTCAAATAAAGGAGGTACAAGCTACTAAAGGATAGGTTCACTGATCATAGTAAATAAGAATAGCTGAAAGCTTCAAAGAAGAGAGAAGTAAAATATTAGAGAAAAACAGGAAAGCTGAGGATACCTAAGAACACATGCCAGCTCAGAATAGTTACAAAATGTAGGTGGCACAACTATTTGGGGCCAGTTCTTCCTGCTCTACTCATTCCACACATCCCCCACAAATCCCAGAGACAGGTGACTACAGCCACCTTTTAAGAAAACATGTATTGTCTTCTATATCATACACCTGTATCTCTGAAATTCCTAACTAGGAATTTGGACAATGATAAAAAGAGATTACATTGTAAGAAGATATGGAAGCTTCTTTAACAAATTTCAATCAACTAGTTCACGTAAAAACATTTTTTATTGGTTAAATTTTACTCATGTAGAATAACTGAATTACCAACAGATGGTGTGTAAATGAATTGCTATATATTTTCATTATTTTCTTTGTTTTTTGCTATAATAATTACTTTCTGCTCTCAGTTTTCTTTCCTTATTTGCATTCTATATGTGCTTTTTTATTTATTCAGGAGCATACTGGGTCATGAGGATAAATTAAATAGATGTAAGAGCAACATGTCTTCTTTTGCGATATATAATAAGAAATCATTAAGAATTTCCTTGAGATTAGATCAATGACTTTTAAGTTAAAAATAACCACAGTACTTAACTTCTTGAGGTTAAATATAAAATAGGTACCAGTTTAGGGAACAAAAGAGGCCCCATCTTCAAATATATAAATATTAGGTAGGTTGTCATCTTTAGGTGCCATAGATCAGTTCAGACTAATAGAGAACCAATCATAACAGAATGGAACACTGCCCCGTCCTGCATCAGACTCTTTATTAAGTTTTGTTGTTGTTGTTAAATTTCGTCAAGTCTGTTCTGACTCTTAGTAACCCTATAACAAACATAGATCTCCAGGGTGAGGGAAAACATCAGTATGATGCCATGATGAATTCTAGAGTTCTGCCTCCACTAGATGACCTTTCATAGGGTACAGAGAACAAAGGAATCTCCTCACAACCATGACTGAAGGCAGCAATGCCTCACATATGCAAGTCAGGCTTATGGAAGCAGGGAGGGGATATTGTAAATAGGAAAGCTTTACAGGTTTTCTTTCTTTCTTTCTTCTGAGGCTTTAGGGGTATCACCAGTCATTAAGGGATAGTTCCAGGGAGTTTCTGTTCTCCCTCTGCTGGGTGGGGGAAGTGGCCCAAAATCCACTATCAAATATACTCTGCTTCTGATTCTGGCAGTTCTACTATCAGAGATGCATGAAGTATACACACAAAAATTGGCATCAGCAAACTTAAACTTAGGTACAAGGTGAAACTAAGCTCTGGTTGGCTGGAGTCATCTGCAGGCAAAAATCCTTCAGATTCCATGCTCTATATTAGTACCTTACTAAGAATTTACCATTGGCTATCAATTAAATTGGATTCCTGATATGGCACCGTATGATCAACACTGGACTGTGAACCATAAAGTCGGCAGTTCAAACCCACCAGCTGCTCCTTGGAAACCCTATACAGGGTCGCTATGAGTTGGCAACGACTCAATGGCACTTAATAACAATCAATTAAAACAATAAACCTATAATTAAAATTGAGTCTTGTCTAGTAGAGTTTGGTTTAATAGGATAAGCACTGGACCGCTAACCACAAGGTTAGGAGTTCAAACCTACCAGCTGCTCCTTGGAAACTCTATAGAGGGTCAATATGAGTCTGAACATACTCAACGGCATTTAACATCAACAACATAACTAAAATGTTTTTCACAATTATTGCTAATAATGTTATTTTATTTGTGCAGGAAATATCATACTCATTTGTTACAGTTTGATGGTGAAGGAGGATGGCGCTTTGAACAGCTGGATACTGCTATCCGTTTAACACTGAGTGAAGAAAAGCAAAAGCTAGAATCCCAGCTAGCTGGAGTTCCCAAAATGCAGCAGAGACTAAATGAACTATGCAAAATATTGGGAGAAGACTCAGTGCTGAAAACAATCAAAAATGAAGATGAGACTTCCTAATGTGTTTTGACATATTTTTTAAATTATTTTTTAGGTAAAGGCTTTAAGAAATCAAGAACACTTTGTTATAGTGCATGCATTCTGTTAAACTAAGCACAGAGAAAAAAGATAGCAAGAAACATTCTATAAAAGGTTAGCTTCAAGGAAATATGTGACTTGAATTTTCAGAAGAAAATAAACAATGCATTATGTAAAGATTAGTCATGGATTATACTAATTCCCACTGGAAACTAATTCACCTATGAAACAGGATTTTTTAAGTGAATTCATGATGAATGCCATATTTGCTATGTGTATGTGATGTCTGGTGGGAATCCTGGTGTGGTGCTGTCTGGACTGCTAATCACAAGGTCGCAGTTCAAACCCACCAGCCACTCTTCAGAACCCTATATGGAGTCTCTAAGTCGGAAGTTAACAACAATGTGATGTTTGAAATTCTTAACAAATATGGGGTATATCTTGAGGATGAACCAATTTAAGAGCAGCATTTGGGTTGATATCAGGTAGGTAAAATTAGAAGTTTGAGTAATATTTCAGTCCATTCATAGTTGATATTAGGTTTTGTAGTTAGAATCCATGCTTATCATTGCTAGTGGCCAACTAAACTGTTAAGCAAAATAGCAGTTTGATAGGTAATTTCGATATTTAAAAGAAGTTATTTTGATAGCAGTGTATAAAAGAAAGAAGCATGGCTATACATATAAAATGTCATATTATTTCATTTTAGACTTTGAGCATTTTAATGTAGGCACAGCATATTAATTTAAATGAGAATCTTACATATTTCTTAAATTTTGAGAATTGCCAGTACAAAAAAGGAATTATATTTTTCCCCCTTTATTATTTTAGATGGCAGCAGGATCTATTTCAACTTTGTTTGGAAATATCCAACTTATTTTTGTGTCTTAAAGGAGGAGTCTGCCAAATTGCTGTGCTATAATACTAAATAGGTATTTCCAAAAATCACAGTAATCATGACATACATTGGAACAGTACTTTATGATTTGTAGTCCTCATTTGAATCATCTCATTTTCCTCCACCTGGAAATCTTTTGTGGCAGATATTACTGGTCCCGGAGTCCTGGTGTGGCACTGTGGGTTAACGCACTGGACTGCAATGTCGGTTTCAACCACAAGATCAGCGGTTCAAGCTCACCAGCCACTCCTCGGAAACCCTATACCGGGTCACTATGGGTCAGAACCTACTCAACGGCACTTAACAGTAACATTATTGGTCCTAGTTTGCTTTTGAGAAAATTGACGTTCAATTTGCCCAAGTCATGTGACTTAATTAGGGGCAGAGGTAGGGATTAAATGTAGGTCTCTCGACTTTCTGGTTCAGTAATGCTTTCACTATTACCCTTTAAAACTAACTGTACTGTCATACCAATAAGATAGGTGAGATGTCGAAAAACAAATTGGGTAACATTAATGTTAGTTTAAACCTGAAAAAAAAAAGCCATTCATCTTAATTTTCATATTAACTTTTATACAATACTACTGTAATAGAAAATACAAACCACAGGCAAGTATATTAAATTAACTTTTAAGGGTACACAAAGAAAATGAGAAGTCCTTATTTGAAACTATGCATAATTCCAATGCCATAATTTTCATAATTTAGTAGATAAAAAATTCAAGATCTGGTATGTCTTGAGGCTTTTAGGTCCTTAAATGAAAAGAATGCCAAAATAAATAGTAGATTTGTAAGTAAGCCCTTACTTAGTATAATCTTCAAATGAAGTGAAGTAATTAATTCATTATGTACCACATATAGGATTTAAGGATGTTTTAAATTCTATACTGCATACTATATACACTATAATTAAAATGCTAAAGTTCTAAAAAGAACATGTTTTCCATGAACTTTTTTGTGCTTATTTCTATTCAAGTGTTTTGTTTTTTTCTTCCAGGACCAATATTCTCTAACTCAGAGAGGGAAAAATCAGTGATTTGAATTTATATTTATTCACCATTTAACTATTTCCAAAATAGTCCAATAGTTATATAATTTTTTTTTATTATTCTCATAGTTATTTATATACAGTTATACTTTACAAAAATGCAGAAAAGACTGAGAACATAAGTGGCCATTTTTTAGTATCACAAGTAATAGATGAGGAGAGGAAAAAGAAAGAATATTTCCATGTCAGAATGGTTTTGCCATGTTATCTATTTGCCCAGTTTTTTTTTTTTTTTTGCTTTCATTATTTTTGTCAAAGAAAGCTGTGAGTTTATGGAACTTGATTTTTGAATGTGCATTTATTTTTGTTAACTCAAACTTGGAAAACAAGCTGCATTCTATCAAAATGTTGCATTTTATTTCACAGCATGTGGTGTTATGTTAAGCATGAGACTAAAATGGTGTGTGTTCTTGTAAACAGGATAATGTGTAAAATTATTCCTTCTAGAATAATCTCAAGATAATGATATATCTTGAAAAGCAACTCAAATTTATACTTGTTTAAAGGAGGAATGGTTTTCCCTTGAAAGTAATTTTTTTGTGTGTGTGTCAAATTTGGTCTGCCAGTAAAGATATAACAGAGGATAGTTTTTTTATTGAGACTTTGTTAGAAAAATATAATTTCATACTTGGCAATAAGCTTTGTCTACAAAATACATCAGGAAAAGGATGAGGCTTTCTGCTCCCATGAAGATTTAAAGCCTTGGAAACCCTATACAGGGTTGCTATTAGTTGGAAACAACTCCACAGCATTTGACAATAACAACAACAACATATAGAGAATAGCTTTTTAATTTCATTAGCCTAGATAAAAATGCTACCCATTGGAAACCAAATCCAGAAAATATTACACACTTCTAGGTTGTGTAGAACATGGAAAAATGTTCTACAAATTCTTGATTATAGAAGATGGTTTTGATAAAATTAATTTATGGGCAAGAATTATTCTTATTTACAAGTGTAATTGCTTTCACAAAACCCAGGTTATTTAAAGTCTACTGATATACATTTACGTATATCACCTATGTTTTAGAGTTGTACATTCTAATGTTTGCAACATGAGAACCTTCAGGTAAATGTATAAAATATTTTTTATTAAAAACATATCCTTTTTTCTTCATTGTTGGTGCCTTTCATGATTGCCAAATGCAAAGTACTGTATAGATTTTGTTGTGAAAATTTCAAAACCAAGCATTTATTTTTTATAAGCTGGATTGTGTTAATGAAAATGAATGACCAAAAATGGTCCTTAATGGTAATACATCACTATGTATCAAAATTACAACATGACTTTGGGTAGATCCATTATAATATATTTTCCATCCAATGTGCGATCATGACAAGCTATGGACAACATTGAGAAGTATGAGTATCCCAGAACACTTAATTGTACTTCTAAGAAATCTGTACCTAGACCAAGAAGCAGTTGTTCGAACATGGGAACACTGAATGTTTTAAAATTGGGAAAGGTGTGAGACAGGGTTGTATTCTTTCACCATACTTGTTCAACCTGTATGCTGAGCAAATAATACGAGAAGCTGGGTTCTATGAAGAAAAACGTGGCATCAGGATTGGAGGAAGACTCATTAACAACCTGCGATATGCAGATGATACAACCTTGATCGCTGAAAGTGAAGAGGACTTAAAACATTTACTTATGAAGATCAAAGAGCACAGTCTTCTATATGGATTACATCTCAATGTCAAGAAAACAAAAATCCTCACCACTGGACCAATAAACAACATTCTTATCAATGGAGAAAAGATTGAAGTTGTCAAGGACTTCATTCTTCTTGGATCAACTATCAATACTCGTGGAAGCAGCAGTCAAGAGATCAGATGACGTATTGCATTGGGCAAATCTGCTGCACAGGAACTTTTTAAAGTATTGAAGAACAGAGATGTCAGCTTGAGGACTAAGGTGCACCTGACCCAGGCCATTGTGTTTTCAATAGCCTCATATGGATGCGAAAGCTGGACAGTGAATAAGGAAGATCGTAGAAGAATTGATGCCTTTGAGTTGTGGTATTGGAGGAGAATACTGAAAGTGCCATGGACTGCCAAAAGAACCAATAGATCTGTTTTGGAAGAAGTGCAGCCAGAGTGCTCCTTGGAGGCCAGGATGGCTAAGCTTCGTCTCTTATACTTTGGACATATTGTCCGGAGGAAACAATCGTTGGAGAAGGATGTCATGCTGGGTAAGGTGGAGGGTCAGAGAAAAAGAGGAAGACCTCTAACGAGATGGATTGGCCAGGTGGCATCATTGATGGACTCAAGTGTGGCAGCCCTAGTGAGGTTGGCCCAGGATCGGACATTGTTTCATTCTGCTGTGCATGGGGTCGCTATGAGTCGGTTCTGACTCGATGGCACCTGACAACAACAACAACAACATCCAATGTGCAGTTACTTGTTTCAATATTCCTTGTAAATTCCTTAATCATCATGAGAAAGTCTTTATATTGTTCGAAGAAATTACAATTGATAATTAGTGCAGTGATGAAAAATTCTCTACTATTATAAATGATTGTGTTGGTTATGTGTCTACATATACATTAATTATAAATTTTATGGTATACCACTTTATATAGTAGTATGCACAATACTTACCAAATGTTGTTGTTAGTTGCCATCGAGTCGGTACCAACTCATAACGACCCTATGTACAGCAGAAAAAACACTGCCCTATCCTGGGCCAACCTCACTATCGTTGCCACATTGATGCTGCCACTTTGCCAATCCATATAGCTGGGGTCTTCCTCTTTTTCTCTGACCCTCCACCCTACCAAACATGATATCCTTCTCCAGCGACTGCTCTCTTCTGACAGTATGTCCGAAGTATTAGAGACGAAGTTTGGCCATCCTGGACTCCAAGGAGTACTCTGGCTGCACTTCTTCCAACACAGATCTGTTGGTTCTTTTGGCAGCCCATGGCACTTTCAGTATTCTCCTCCAACACCGTAACTCAAAAGCATCAATTCTTCTATGGTCTTCATTATTCACTGTCCAGCTTTCACATGCATATGAGGTTATTGAAAATACCACAGCTTGGGTCAGGCACACCTTAGTCTTCAAGCTGACGTCTTTGCTCTTCAACACTTTAAAAAGGTCGTGTGCAACAGATTTGCCTCATGCAATACGTCATTTGATTTCTTGACTGCTGCTTCCATGAGTGTTGATAGTTGATCCAAGAAGAATGAAGTCCTTGACAACTTCAATCATTCATGCCCTCTAGTTTAATCTAAATTAGTTGGTCCAATAAACCAATGTTTATGACTATATCATCCTTCACCTGTAGGTGCTCCCAAACATTTAGCATGTTGTCTTGAAACCTGAGCTAAGTT